CATGGTTCATAGTCACTCGTTGATGAAAGTTCACCGACTGCTAACGGAACTCGCTTCTCCCCCTCTGCCGTGGCCGCAGCCGGGCAGCGGCTAGTACACTAGGCAGAGTTCCAGCCTCGGGCTGTGTACTACTTGGACTCGGGCACGACTGGCTGACAACGGCTAATAAGTCAGCAATGATCATTTTAGTCGGTGATACTATAAATGCATAGGATTAACCTGTATTAGCGAATTGCTTCCTGTCCTTCTCCTTTAAATCCAAGATTGTTTTGTTATGCACGATTTTTATCATTACCAGACCTCTCAGTATCCTGAAATGCGACGTTTACGCTGATTTTGTTCCCCGTGCCATCCAACTTTCTTTCCTCATTCGTATATCAAGGGTGCAAAGCGTTAGAAGTGGAAGAGAACGCTCACCTCCATATAGGCAGTCATAACGTGTACCTCATTAGTTCTTCACCAGCAATTTTCCTTTTTGCCCTTCGAACGTGGATTTCAGTAAAGCTGCATAGGGCATTGGGCATGTTCTCTCATCCGAATTTTCCTCCTGTATCTCATTCACTGTCTCTCAGGCAACCCTTCGTCTTGGGAATGTATTTGAGGTGGTTGGCTTCGGTAATGTATTCCCGACTCTGTGTGGGTACTACACCGAGAAAATGTCTGTTGGCGCTAACCAAACCCTCTCTTATCTGCTAATGCACTGCAGTATTCATCCAAACACACACACACAACCTGCTCTACCGATTCCGCCATAAAACTGCACACAAGGACGAAACGTCTCTCACACACCCCTCTGCCCTCCATTCTGTGTGTTTGCTACTCAGATATGGGGACGTGGTTGCGATATAACCACTTGCTGTAGTAGTTACCAAACTTGGATTCATAGACCAAGTTAACCCCCTACCACTTACATCATCTAGCGATCTCCCATGTCTTTTTCTTGAACCTCGCCTATCTAATCGACGTCCACCTGATTTCGTCCGCTGTCACCTACGGTTTCCCGTCGCATAGCAGCACCAACGTGCATTCCTGGACGTCATTTGATCCTTTGGGTGTCTCCAGGTATATCAAAAGCGTTCCAACCATCACAGGGGTCAAATACACGACAGATTGTCCGTCGGAAGCAACACCGCAAATCAATGTTCGGAATAGCCTGCAGTTATTTTCTGCACCTGAATAGAAGTACACAATCACCCCATCCTGTTTCAGAGACATGACAGATTCTAGCTGCTCGGAGGCGCATTAGCTGATGAGTTTCAGTTCGCTACTTACGTTTCCTACTCACCATCCAGTCCTTTACTCTACACGAATCCTGCTTCACGAAAGAGGGCTTTATGGTTTTGCGTAAGCTCGCCATAACGACTATATTGGGAGGAAACCATTCCAGTGGTTCTCATCCTAAAGGGGATGTGGTATTTCTAAAGCAAACAACCTACCCTGAGTCGTCTGTCGTGATAGTTTAAAACCATGTTTGGTTGCTGATGGCGAGGAACTTGGGCGCTGGACTGACCCCACGTACCTGGGGACCTGTCTGACTCTGTCGATCGATGGGTGACGAAAGTGGACTCAGGGACCGGCGTGGCAGGTATCTCCACAGACATTGAAAGCAGGGAATAGGGACTCATGAAGCTTCGAAACAGTCCGGCTGACAATGCCCTTGAGCCATTATGGTCGCAGTTTTGTTTTATTGCCATAAAAGCATAGCCCATCGAAAACTACTACGCTGAATAACGTTAGAAAGTTATGGGAATGCACACGAACAAATGGACGAATGACAACGAGTAGGGACTTGCAGGTTGTTCGAACTATTTATTGTTCTTTTGTGGGTCCGATCTGGTTAACATTGCTGCATGCGATGAGTTGAAGGCAATTAAAAAAAAAGCGATTCAAGTTGCTTGGACTCAAATTTTCCTTTCCATATTGTACCAACCGTAATTCGTAAGAGCCAGGGGACTAAATTTCCATCTGAAATATCAGGTATTTGCAGCGGAAATATTTTTCTTACGGAAGGGCGTTTACTGAGAGTTCAATCTTAAATGCATCCTTAACATAGCCTTTTTGATCCATGAGTAAGTTATTTACTCTGCAAACCTTTTTCCGGCTGTTTTAGTTCAACTGCTACCATTTATTTTTTTTTGGTTTCGAAAGTCTACTAGACCTGCTGATCATGATTTTAAGGACAACCGTACTCCTGCTTTCTAGAGAACAATGTGACTTTCATGTGTAACGCCACCTGATGTGCGTGCTTAGAAAGGTTCCAGTGCCCGAAGGTCATTTATGTAGACTATTTTTTAATGGAAGCCATACAAACAGACTTGGTCAACAACGTTTCCTCAGGGCTTGTAATCTGCGTAGATTTTCCGCTTGCATTAGTGGAACATTCCATCTGGGAAAAGGGATCATTTTGCGGCACGTTAGATTAATAAGCGGCATTCACTGTGTCCAGGTTTATGTCATCTTATTTCAGGAGTCTTACAGCCTGTTGTGTAGACGGTGATCTATGACGCTTATGTACAACTTGTTACCTCATTTAACTGCATAATGCAATTTAGAGGCTCTGAGTTTATTACTGATATAAAATGCTGACTGGTAGTAATGAATGACCCTTAGCCCTCTATATGAACGCCTTGATAGCCGACTTGCAGGTAATGGGTCCTGTTGCGCAGGGTAGAAGTCCCAGTAAAAAGTTCTAGTTTAATGGTGTCCACAGTTGTTGCCCTGAGCCTCACTTTAAAAATGAAAAGTTGACCGGAGGAGACTTGGCGAGACGCACAGAATTTAAGCAATGAGAAGTTGCTTTTTCTATATCGAATATTCTTTAGGTATGAAATACCCCGAAAACCGATTAACTCCTAGCAGCGCTCTACCAAACGCTTGACACAGTGCCTTATAATGTGGTAAAGAGACATGCAGGAATTGCAAGTATTACAGTAACAAAATCTTCGTTTTTACAGTACACACATTCAGGCTAATAGGTTGTAGTTCTTACTTGAGAAAACCAAACGGTATTAACAGTGTCTCTCAGTCTTTTCGTTCATCTTTCTTCGTGACTGACGTTTAGGATTAAGGTGAGGACCGTGTCCTACTTTGACTGCGTGGAGGGGTAGCTAGCACTGAACTATCTTATCTGACCCTTTTATTGTCGGTGAAGAAAACTTCTTAAGCCAATTCCTGCTGATTGTTTAAGTTAAATGCTTGTTGAAAGTAAAACCCAAGGTTACGGTCCTATCACGAAATCAGGCTACAAGTTAAACTTCAGGAAGCTTAAACAAGTTGACGCATCCTGATCGAACTCACTATGGGCACAAAAAACATATAGAATGCGTGTAATTTTTAGAAATGCTTGTAACTCTTGGGGCTAATTGAATGCATAGAACTCTGATCACTCTTTTTCCTGTTG